ATTTCATCCCTTAGTTGTATACACAGACCGAACAGTGCATGCGGGTAGGAGTGGGAAGTCTGTAAATTTAGAGGGTTCGATATTGCCAAAATTAGGACGTTCCGTCCTCAGATTTTGCTTCAGGAATCGATCTTTGATCAGAAAATCCTCTTTCCGGATGATTGAGGAATTAAAAGCCTAGTCAGCCGCACATTATTCTCATCAGAAAAATGATGACTCAGAAAATGGCATACAGCGATTGTCCGTACCATGGGTCAACTTCCTTTTCTGTCTTCTCACTGTTTCTCTCGCTTTGCTCTTTCGCAATTTCCTCTCTCCCTCTCTTTCTCGCGCGCGCGCATTCTGTTCTTTTGCATATCCGTCTTGCAAATTAGTTACATGACTGTTCAGTACATGGCGGGTAGAGGAGGCTGTATTGATGATTCTCGCTCCTCTCCGTACACAGAGCTGAGGTCAGGTGGATCTTGCGGCTTTTGGCTGCAAATCAGCAACACCAGGGAGTCCACTCCGATAAGGTAAAAGGCAGTACGGGTCTCGAAGGTAGCTCGGGCCGATAACTGAAGCAATCTTGGTAGCAGTGGTAATTTATCAGATGCGGAATGCACAAGATCATTGTGGATGAAAAAGTTGTTTTTTACGGATTAACAGCTTTTTCGGATATCTCGGCGAGGGCTAGTACTGAATTGAGTTTGTTTTTGGGCAACTTACGAACAAAAAAGCCTTTGATAATTGTCACTTTTTGCTTACTTTTGCCAGTTTATATTAATTTGGGTAATTAGCAAAAGTATCGGCCCCTCTTAAGCAGCAAGGGTTGAGGACTGTGTATTATTAATATTATTATTGTTATTATTGTCATTATCACTATCACATCATCATCGGTATTATCGCCATTATCATTGTCATTATCATTATCATCATCGTCATTATCATTTCAGCGTTACTTCATAACCTGGCTTTTTTTATATATTTTTTACGTTAAACTGTTTTCAGCAAAAGATCCTGTCGTGTTTACGAGTCGCAATTCTCGGCGTAAGATGCCAGCAGCGCATTCCAAATGGGTACCACTTAAGCGAACGCAGAGTGAGTCTTCTGGCTTTTCAGGGTGA